TCTTTCTCTGCTTGGCTTGTTTCGCTTAAGATAATACTTTCCAGGTCCCTCCATGTCATCTCAAAGGATAAGAGATCTTTCTTTCTTACAGCTGCATAGTACTCCATTGTGTATCTATTCTAAAGCTTTTTTATCCATTCCTCTACTGATGGACACTTGGGCTGTTTCCAGATCTCAGCTATTGTAAATAGTGCTGCTATGGACATGGGGGTACATGTATTCTTTCTGATTGGTGTTTCAGGCTTCTTAGGGTATATTCCTAGAAGTGGGATCACTGGGTCAAATGGCAGTTCAATTTTTAATTTTTTGAGGTAACACCATATTGATTTCCATAGTGGCTGCACCAGTCTGCATTCCCACCAGCAGTGTACTAGAGTCCCCTTTTCTCCACACCCTCAGCAACACTTGTTGTTTGATGATTTGTTGATGGCGGCCATTCTGACAGGTGTGAGGTGATACCTCATTGTTGTTTTAATTTGCATCTCCCTGATGATTAGTGATGTTGAGCATTTCTTCATATGTCTCTTGGCCATTTGTATGTCCTGTTTGGAGAGGTGTCTATTTAGGTCCTCTGCCCATTTTTAAATTGGTTCTTTGTCTTCCTTTTGATGAGCTGTATGAGCACTCTCTATATATTGGAAATTAACCCCTTATGTGATGTATCATTGGCAATGATGTTCTCCCATACAGTGGGTTGCCTTTCCATTTTGATGGTTATTTCTTTTGCTGTGCAGAAGCTTTTTAGTTTGATGTAGTCCCATGTGTTCATTTTTTCCTTTGTTTCTGTTGCCTTAGGTGATGTATCAGTGAAAATTCTGCTGCATATGATGTCAGAAATTTTGTCATGCAGTGGGTTTTTAATCCTTTAATTTTTTACAACTTTTTCATTTTAAGGATTAAAACATTATTATTACAGACTTACATGGTTGGTACTAATATTCCAATTTATAGACATGAAAACTGAGCCACAGAAGAAAATGGTATAACCAAGGTCCCTTAGAGAGTAACTGGCAGAGTCGGGCCCTGACCCTGAGTCTGACTCCAGACTCCCCACTCTTACCCACCACGTCTCTGGGCATGATCAGTAGATTGCCCAACTTCCCATTTGCAGCTGAAGGTGGCCAGGTCCGCCAGGCATCTGGGGCAGGAAATAAGCGAGGTGTGCTCTCTGGAAAAGGTCATCCACAACCTCTGAATGACCCCGAGACCTGTGGCTTTTCTAGGAAATCCAGTGTGATGTCTCCAGAGGTTCTGCTCTCAGTGGCCTTTGGAGTCAGCAAGATCTGCAGTAGATTTACCAGAGATCTTCCCTCTTGTGGAGAGTGAAATCTGGGCTTGACCAAGAGACTACTTTATCCAGTGGGACACAATCAAACATGATGCACAGGCCAGGGCCACCGTGTGAATAAGCCAGAGATGGCTAGCCAGCTGGAGGGTGCAAGCCACATGGAGAACCAAGGTTCCCAGGCCAACAACTTGCTCACTCCAGTTACATGAGCCGGGCCATCCTAGCTCACCCTCCACCAGAGAGCCACCAACACAGGTGAGGCTAAATGTTGTGCCCAGGGCGAGTACCTCATCTGACTCACCCTAGTTCCAGCCAGCCCACAGAGACAACTCCTCTCTTTCTTGTTCTAAGATCTCTCAGGAGGCTGTGCATGAGGTCAGCATTGTAAGTGATGGGTAGCTATAACATCCACACCTAACACTTGAATGCTCCATGAGAGAGCAGAATTGGAAGTTACCAACCAGGGAAGGCACCAAGAACTGGGAGGATACCTGTAGGTGACCAGAAGTACCAGCTAGGAGTTCTGCCATGTTGACTGCCCATATACGTCTATTCCCATTGGTACTGAATAACTGGGTCAGTAGCTGGGTTCACTGGGACAGTGCCCAGTCCATAAAGTTCCTCAGGTGGACTAATGTTCCATGATTTGGACCTCTCTGCAAAAGACAAAGTTCTAATCTCCAGCATATCCCCTCGCTCAGACTGGGCTTGGAAAGGCAGGGGCACAGAGAGAGCCCAGCACACTCCTTTGTCATGGGTGGAGACTGCTCTGCTGCCCCACCAGCTTGCCCACACCGCTCCTCCAAGGCCACACAGGAGGAGGGCACTCCTCCAAACCTGCATGAGCCTCAGGGGCAGCCAAAAAGAGCCTGGCCAGGTTGGTGAGCAGGTGTGGGCAGATCTTTAATCATGCCTTCAGCCATGGACAAAAAAATGTTCAATGAACTGAGAATCAAACCAATTCAGTTGTTTGGACCAATTCATCATCCTTAGTGCCAACCAACCTTCTGGGAACTGTGTCCAGAGATAGGATCATCCCAGGGAGGCTGCCAAATCCCACGCATGCCAACGGCAGGGGGTGCTTCCGGCTCTCCCCACGCCAAGGTACGACGGCTGCACAGTGCGTGCACACCGAGAGGCCGCCTACCACTGCGGGCCGCACGCTGCTAGGGAGGACGGCCAGGTGGTGAGAGCCCGCGCAATCTCCACGGACGTCTTTCCCTGCCGCCTGCTGTCACTGGCGCGGTCTTCCTCACACAGATGGCTCTGTCCTCACTGCTTTACAGAGGTTTACACGATGGCTACTCATGACAATGCTGTAAGTCAGGGGCTTATTTTATCCATTTTCAGCTGAGGAAGCTAAGGCACAGAGAGATTTAAGTCATGTGCCAAAGGTCACATATATTTGAGCCTGGGAATGCCGGCTCCATGGTCTGTGACTCCTAACCGACTCCCAGTACTTCTTCCCGTTTCTCCTGAGGGACCACCTCTCCCCGACTGAAATTAGGGGGTAGGCACATGGGCCCTCCTGCCCAGGAGTAGACACGTGGCCAGGTCTGGCCAATCAGCACAGCCATCCTGCTGGTGGCACGTGACTCACGGCCCAATGAGACTTGAGCTCCTGCCCCTGGAGCTGTGCCATGAAGTGCACGGGAACAGCGCTGCGGCCTCCACCTGCGGAGGCAGAAACACGGTCCCGAGCCTCACACCAGGAGGATGACGTTCCGAGGCCTCATTTCTGCACCTGATCCAGGGGTCTGATGCCAGTCTACCCCTTGGGCTCTTCCGGTTCGGGGACCAAGAATTTCTCTTTTAACATAAGCCAGTTTGAGCTGAGTTTCTGTCTTAGGCAACAGAAAAAGTCCACGAATACAGGGTGGGGGAAAATGGGTGCACAGCTGTTCATGTGGAAAATAATACAGTAATTAATAAATAATAATGACACAAGAGTCGACTCTTCCGCACACTCACAGCTGAACATCGAGGGCCGCTCGCCCGCGCGGACAGCACAGAAACGCCACCTCTGGGCTGCCCGTGGTCAAGCCTCCGTGTGCGTGCACGTTCAGGGCTGCCCCCCAACTTCCCGCCTGTGTCCCTGGGGATGCGAGGAGGAGCCGCATCGGAAGGCCAGGGGCCGTGATCTGAGGGAAGGTGGCCGACGGTCCGTCCTCATGGCTGCGGACAGGCCGGTAAGGACGTGGTGGTCGAGCTGCTGGAGTTGACCCCAAGCCCCAGGGTCCGCGCAGGGCGGCTGCGGCTCGAGCCTAGGGCAGTGGTGCCGCGGCGGCAGATGCGCCTGGTTTGCAGGGACATGGCAGGCGGCCATTTGCGAAGGGGTGCGAGAGCCCACAAGTCCAGCGACACAGGGACACCACGAGGCGGCTGTGAGGTCTAAGTGGGTAAGAAAGGACCAGCAATGGACAAAGTCCATGCAGGCAGTTCCAGGACAGTGACCCAAAGCAGGACCAAATAAGAGAACTAGTGACCGCTGCACACCGGGGCCGGAACGTGGTCATTACCAGGCAACGGAAGAGCTAAGGGCGGGAAGTCCCCCTAGGACAATCGAGGAGACCTGACCGGGTCCCTTTCCGAGCTTCTTCTCACACGCAGTCCGCGTAAGAGAACTCGGAGGTTGCCCTGGCCGGTTTGGCTCAGCGGTTAGAGCATCGGCCTGCGGTCCGGAGAACTCGGAGGTGGCTCAGCAGCCATTAGTGTCAGCGGTGACTCGGGTCCTTCGCCTCTTCCCCTCCGCTGTGCCCAGCGAGTCTGCCACCTCTCCCTCCCCAGCCCGAAGGTCTGTCGCAGCCACAAGCGGCCGAAGAAAGACATGTCTTCTCTCATCAGAAAGGACAGTCTTTCCAGAGGCCCTGCCCAAGCTTCCCTCACACCCCCAGCAGGACTCCGCGCCCGCCACAAAGCACCGTGGGAAGTCAGGCAGGTTCGGCCTCCAGCCGAGACCCACGCGGAGCAGAGAGGGGCCGGGGCCGAGGGCAGCTGCCGTGGGCATCCACAGCGCACCCACACCTCAGACAGACTCCTACCGAGCGCTGTGCCATCACCTTACCATCACTCACTATTTTCCTCAAATCAGCAGATCTTTGGTTTACCCTAAATACCTTTTCAGGTGGAAAATTTTACATCCCTACTATAAATGCAAAACCTCTGCTAGGTACATTTTTCCAAACCATGTTAAAATAAATTCATAATGATTAAAACCAAAATGATTTGCCTGTTTCACCTAGAAGAATCCCTGGTCCCACCCGCAGGGGTCACAGTGGGGGTGCATAGCAACAGGGCAGAGTCCCGTCCTCCTAACTCCTGGGCCCTGGCACTAGAACTGCCTAGCAAGGAGCTAGGAAGCGCGTGCACAGTGAGGTACCATCCAACCACCGCCCCCGCCCACTGCTCCCCATGCCTCAGCCGTCAAGATGAGAAGACATTTATGAAACTTATATAATCTTATTAACCAATGTCACCCCAATGCATTTAATAAAAATTTAAAGACATTTAGCAAAAGCACAGTGGGGAACTGGCTGGTTTCCTTTGCAATCACACACCCTCTCTAGAAATGTCCTAGTTTTTTGTTTTTTTCCATTAAAATGAAAAACATCTCAGAGGCTGTAAGGACCTTGGAAGGAGACCATCCCAATTTCTTTGTTTCAGTCCTCACGACATTGTGGACAAAGAGAGGTGCCCGGTGCCCGTTACTTACGTCGGAGGCTGGACCCTTGTCGGCGCCCGGGCAGGAGAAAGTGACAAACTCATGGCACCGCTTGTGGACAACAAAGCAGCAGACTGCAAACAAAAAACAAGGTGGGAGGAGGGAGAAGGGAAGTGAGAGGGGGAGGGGAGGGAGGGAGAAAGATGGTTAAAACCTGGACTTCACAAGTAAAGGCTTTATAGCAAAATAAACAATGCCTTCAGGGTCTGCACCTGTCCTTACTGAGGTCCAACTCGTGGCTACACCGATGTTACGTCTTGTAAACTAGTGAAGTTCCTAAAGTACCACAGGTACTCAAAATCACACTCCGTCGAGCATCGCTTCAGTTGCCGGGTTTGGGAACAGAATGTCATTTTTTAGATTGGGCACCACGTGAAGTAGCTGACTTGTGTCTAGGTTCACAATGCATAAGAAATGTGTCTAATTAAACACTAGACCCGCACTCACAGAGATGGCACGGGAGACAGAGTGAGCGGGACGGGCAGACCCACGCCCCGCGTCCCAGGAGCAAGGTCCAGTAAGTGGAGGAGCAGAGGAATCAGCTGCAACGTCTCCGCTGCCACATCAGTGGTTGGCAATCAAGCACGCACACGTGTCCTGTGTTTGAATTTGCGAGTTAGATGCTTCTATGCACGGCTCTACTGTTCGGGGATTGGATCACTTGGGCAAAGGAACTGTCAGAGAATGTACACAAAACAAAACGGAATTTTTTGTTCAAATCTGCTGCAGTTTTATTATTCACTTTAAACCAGCAATTCTCAACCTGTGGGTCACGAGCCCTTTGGGGTCGAACAACCCTTTCACAGGGGTCGCCTGAGACATAACAGTAGAAAAATTACAGTTATGAAGTAGCAACAAAAATAATTTTATGGTTGGGGTCACCACAACGTGAGGAGCTGTATCAAGGGTCGCGGCATCAGGAAGGTGGGAACCAATGTGACTCTAGACTGGGTCCCTGGAGGGCGGTCGCCATGCTGAAGAAACAGCATCTTTCTTTTTTATTTTATTTTTCAGTGAGTTTTACATTCATCATTATTTTGTATTACTTTCAGTTGTACTGATGGTTGCCAGAGGGGAGGGGGCTTGGGGGAGGAGTAAAAGGGTGAAGGGATTAAGAAATACAAATTGGTTGATACAGAATAGTCATGGGACGTAAAGTACAGCATGAAGTACAGGTGGGTACAAGACTTATCGGGATGATCACTTAATAAGTTTTATAATGTCTAATCACTGGGTTGTACACCTGAAACTAATATAATATTGTATGACACCCAACTCAACAAAAGGAAGACAAAGAACCCAATTAAAAAATGGGCTGAGGACCTAAAGAGACACCTCTCCAAAAAGGACATACAAATGGCCAAGAAACAAATGAAAAAATGCTCAACATCACTAGTCATCAGAGAGATACAAATTAAAACAACAATGAGGTATCACTTCACACCTGTCAAATGGCCTCCACCAACAAATCATCAAACAGTGTTGCTGAGGATGTGGAGAAAAGGGGACTCTAGTACACTGCTGGTGGGAATGCAGACTGGTGCAGCCACTATGGAAATCAATATGGTGTTACCTCAAAAAATTAAAAATTGAACTGCCATTTGACCCAGTGATCCCACTTCTAGGAATATACCCTAAGAAGCTTGAAACACCCATCAGAAAGAATATGTGTACCTCCATGTTCATAGCAGCACTATTTACAATAGCTAAGATCTGTAAACAGCCCAAGTGTCCATCAGTAGACAAGGGGATAAAAAAGCTATGATATATGTACGCAATGGAGTACTATGCAGCTGTAAGAAAGAAAGATCTCTTATCCTTTGAAACGACATGGAGGGACCTGGAAAGTATCATCCTAAGCAAAACAAGCCAAGCAGAGAAAGACAAATATCATATGATCTCACTTATTTCTGGAATATAATGAACTAAACAAACTGATGAACAAAATAGACCCAGAGACATAGAAGTAGGGTACAGACTGACAAACCTCAGAAGGGAATGGGGGGAAGAAACCACAGAACTTACATGCATGTACACATAACCGATGGGCATAGACAACAAAGATGGGGATGAGGTGGGGGTGATGGGGAGGAGGGTGTCAATGGGGGGAAAAGAAGAAACAACTGTAAAAAAAAATAAATTAATAAAATAAATAAATAAAAATAAAATACTGGAAAAACTATTGTATGACAACTGTAATGGAAAGTTTTTAAAAATTATTTAAAGTCAAGAAATAAATAAATAAAAGCTATAAAATGTTAAAAACCTGCAAGAGGGAAAAAATAGGGGCAGAGGAGAAACTTATATTCAAAGAGAAGAAACATGTCAACTAAATGCAATATATAAACTTGGATCCTAATTAAAATCAACAACTGGTTTGAAAACTATGAGACAATGTCAGGAAAATGTCTTTCCAAGGATGTGAAGGAACTGGTATTATTGATATCAGGGGGTTATAATTTTGGGGTATGATAATGGTATTGTGGTGTCTTGTTTTTTTTGTGTGTTTTTTTTTTTTTAAATTTATTTTAGAGAGAAAGGAAGGGAGAGGGAGAGAGAGATGGAAACATCGATAAGAGAGAACACCAATTGGCTCCTCCTGCATGCCCCCCACTGGGGATCAGGCCCACAACCTGGGCATGTGCCCTGACCAGGAATCGAACCGGCAACCTCTTGGTGCATGGGTCGACAGTCAACCAGTGAGCCACACCGGCCAGGCTTGTGGTTACCTTTTAATAAGCAATCTTTGTCTTTGTAGCTGTGCCCTGAAATCTTTCTGGATAAAATAATTTCATTCAAAGCAATTCAGTATGACAGGAAGGGATTAGAAAGGGAGGATTACAGATGGAAAAAAGTAAGTCACAGCGGATCATTATGGAACCTGGATGCCGGACACACCGAAGGCTCATGCTATTAATCTGTGTACTTTTCTATGTGCTTGAAATTTTTCATAAATAAAAATTTTAAAACCCTCATGATTGGGAACCAAGAATAGTTCCAAAGGGGCCAATATCTTTTCCTTTTCACTTTATCTTCTTTATATTTTAATATTTGTTGTATTTTATAGTTAATCTATGCTTTGTATAAAGGCGCGCGCGCATGTGTGTGTGTGTGTGTGTGTGTGTGAATGATGAGGAAAACACAGGAGCAGTGGTTAAAAGGCCAGTGGTCATTATTTCTGGGCAGTCGAATTGCAGATTATTTTTACTTTCAAACTTTCATTTTTCTATATTGTTTGAAGTCTTTACAATGAGTATATATTCATTATAATCAGGAAAAATAAGCCTGCTTTCAATAGGCCTACTTTGAAACAGCACAAAGAAAAACAGACCAGGGATTAAAAGACAAGATCCCAGAACTGGAAACGCAGAAGCAGGGCTCATACCAGAACGAACATGTCTAAGAGGAACTTAGCAAACTGGAAGTCTGAATTGAGGGATTCTCCCCAAAGTTCTGGCAAAAAGTGCAAGGAAGAATAAAGAAAATGATACAAAACATGTAAGATAGATCCCAAAAATCTAACCATCTAGAGGACGTTCCGGAGAAAACAACGGCAGAGAAGGAAACAGAAGGGACTTCCCTAAGATTCAGGAGAACCTGAGTCCCGCCTGAGAGGAGCCCCCGGGGCCATGGGCCGGAGAGGACAGCCGGAAGGACAGCGAGGCTCAGGCGCCACTGCAGGGTCCTGGCAGGGCAGGAAGAGGGAAGGGGGAAGGGCGCCAACAAGGGGACAGAATAATCGCAGCATCAGATTTCTCACTGCAACGTTGAATTCTAGACTATGACAGAGCAATATCGTCAAAGGTTTAGGAAAATTCATTTGAAACCTAAAAGCTCCTACAAAACATTCAGGTAAAAGTACAAAATAAAGACATTTCCCGAAATCAAGAACTTAGAATTTTTGCTTCCTATACAAGAAGTATTAGGGTAGATACACACTACCAAAAAAAAAACAAAAACAAAAAAACAAAAACATGAATAAAAGAGGTGTAAGAAATAGTGCTGAGAAAACAGGAAGCTACAGGGAGACAGACAGGAGGGGCCCTCGGTCATAAGAAACAGGGGTGCCAGAGGGGTACAGTGAATATGCTGAGAGTCTTGTCTTGCTCCCCAGAGATTCCAGGTTCTAAGAAAGTGCGCAGAGGACAGACATCACAAGTCCGTGTGAGAACAAGAAGAGAAAGATCATGTCACTCACGGACCACTAAAGATAAAACTGGACAAAGAACACAATCCAACTACACTTCAAAAGAGCCCCTTCCCCATGCCCCAATTTCATCTGATTTTTCTATTTATATGACATCACTTGCATTTTAACTCTTCAATCCTCTATAATTTCTTGGTATCTGGTGTGGCATGGGAATCTAATTTGCAGCAGTGATCCAAATGGTGATCAGTTGTCCCGGCATCTTTTATTGAGTAATTCGTCCCTTCCCCACTGACTTCACAAGCCAACCTCATTGTATACTAAATAATTATACCCCGGGGTCTGCCTCTGGGCCTTCTGCTCTGTCCCCCGGTCTGCCTTGTGATACATCACCCTAAGCTTTCATTACAGTAGCTCTATAATCCACGAAGCCTGGAGGGACTGGCCCTCCCTCGCTATCCAGCACCGGAGCTCCCCGCCCCACCTGAGCTCCAGAATCACCCCATCGCGCTTTAAAACACCAGTGGAACTCTGACTGGAACTGTCTTACATTTAGAAATTAAACTGAAAATAACTGGCATTTTTTACAGTGAGTCTTTCTATCAGGAATAGAAACCTGGTAAACTTGGTAAAACCTGATTTTATGTCTTCTAATAAGTCTTCCATTTTCTCAGTAGGTGCTACACACGTCTCAGTGTTACCTGAGGGATCCTCCTTTTATGCTATGGTGATTTCTAACATTTTCCCCACTTTGTTTTCCAATGGCTCGTTTATAATCAAGGAGGGGACGACGGCAGAGCTGCCTACTTGGCGTGTACGCATCCTTTCAACTCACAATAGTTTTTGTGGGTTTTTCGTTTTCTCTGTTTCCCAGGTACAGAATCCTATTTTTCCAAATAATAATACTTCGCTTTTTCCTTTCTGATA